AGATTACATTTTAGCATTTTTTGATAGAGATTATGGTAAGCTTATTGGTTTTCTAAATGAATTTATTCTGTTATTACAAGAAAATTATGAATTGTTAAAACGTGAGCTACCTATGTTCCTTACAAACTTTATTAAAAATAATTTAAATGATTTTTGGAAAGATGAACTTATGCTCTCTAATAAGAATTTCAATACTTTTAAAGAAATTCATTTATTTGGCTGCTTTTTTTCAGATCTGATTAATTTATTTTATTTACTTGTGAATCCAAACCACAAATTTATACTCATTGATTATGATCAACATGACGAATATCTTTTTGGCCGTTCAATGGTGACTGTTTTAATGCACTTTCAAGAAGATATTGATGAAAAAAATTTAAAATGTTCTGTTTATGACAATAAGTATAACGTATTGGAATATAAATTAATGATTGATTCAACAAAAAAAATTATTTTTTTTATGTTTGACTTACGTTATTTGAAAGAATTTAATATTAGACAAATAAATTGTATAGTTCAGACTCCCCAAAATCGTTATCAATCATGTGATATTAATTTAATTTAATACTTACAATAAAATTTTAAGTAGGATGTCTTTTTAAACTTTTTATCAAAGAATGATAATTTGTATTAATACACTTTTTATATAAAGTTTGCATAGGAAAATATCAATTTGTACTTTAAATCATTTAAAGGTAGCTAATTCTTGCATATAATAATTTTTAATGATACGTTTATTTAAGCTTTAGCATTTATCTAAGGAAATTCAAAATAGGGTTTTTTTAAATTAAAACCTTTACTGCTTTGGAATTCTTATGCTAATATTACACTAAAGAACAAGGCAAATTACTTATGTTTTGGGAAAAAAATATTTTACTTTAAAGAATTAAAGGCTTGCAACCTGCTATAGAGCTGTAAACATACACTGTTAGGCTAGTTAAATGGGTTTAATCTAGCGCACTATAATATATAAATATAATGAGTACCATTTAATATATGCACTAAGGTTTGTTTTAAGCTATACTTTAATAAAAAGAAAAAATAAAATAAAATAAATTTATTGAGACACCAAGGAGGCGCCACACAGCAAGTAAAAACTTCAACATCCAATAACTTGTTTTACATACCAGCATACCATCAAGGCTTTGATTGTAAAAGAAATAGGATCCCTTAAGATTAAATCCACAGGCATAAAGCCCGTAACCTGTGTTCAGCAGGGTTCTAAAGGATCACACCTGACTCAATCGTCAGTAAAGGACCTGACTTGATCCAATGCAAATGCTACGGCATCAACAGTTTGCCAAGTTTTCCAGGTAAAATGTGTTAACATTTCTTACTAGCAGAAGCTAGTTCCTATTATGGTTAAAAACCTTTTTTTCCTGTAAAAGCATATATCGTTGTACTACCCACTTTGTCCAAGAACCTTACTCTTACAAATAGAACTTTTTATTCTTGAGCAAGTCTTGGCATCATTGATATTGCCAATGTTCACCGTGACTCGCTCTTTCCTTGTCCGAGTCAGATCTACCAATTTAACTATTCTTCCCTCATAGAGAGATCTTGTATTAGAAAGGGCAGGACAATCTAACAAGAAATGTTCAAGGCACACCTGTTCTCCCCCACAAACAAAACAGTGCCATCTGTAGAATCGAGGGATTCTGTTGGCACTTGCCAGGGAAGAAGACTATCTTACTGAATTACATCTAAGTTTGGTTAAATTCCTTATCTGTCTGTTATTTGCTTTTGTTAGTATATACTTAAGTTGTGACTCAAGGATTTTATACTCCCCTCCTATTGAAGCTGCTAAGGTAGAGCTATAGGAACCCTTTCCTTTAAGCACTTCGATTATTTTGTCTCTGGCTACTCAGTTGCCAATGCTTTCATACTCGTGACCGACATACCTTTTGCACCATCGTCGAGTCCTTGAACTCCGCGTGGTCTTCCTTTCCCTGAAAGCTTGATCCACAAACTCTGAGATTATCGTTTTATGTTGTCTTTACTTTATTAATGCCCTAAATCTATTTAAGGCCGCTCGTATTTGAATTCTATAATCGAGAATTCGTCCATTATCCAATCTAATGGAACTATTTTTGTCCGAAACACCATCCTGACTGCTTTCCTGAGGATTCTAGTAATCCTACCTGATCTTGTACTAGACATGCCCCATAGTTCACTACCATACATGAGAGCAGGGACTAGTACATTTT